GGCTCTGTCTCAAAAAAAAAAAAAAAAAAAAAAAAAGAAGTGATCAAAGTGGAGGTGAGATGTTGGCATGGGCCAGAGCTGGAAGGGCCTTAAAGGCCACATTAAAGACTTTGGATGTATTTTAAGTGTGGTGGGGGAGAATAAAACAGTGGTGAATGAAGATGTTTAAAATCAGAGGATAAGGCCCACCATGTTGGCTCACATTTGTAATCCCACAATCTGGGAGGCCAAGGCAGGTGGATTGCTTGAGCTCAGGAGTTTGAGAACAGCTTGAGCAAGAGCAAGACCTCATCTCTACTAAAAATAGAAAACCAGACTCTGAGCCCATAGCACAATGGTTATGGCACCAGTCACATACACTCAGGCTGGTGGGTTTGAACCCTGCCTGGGCCAATTAAACATCAATGAGAATTGCAACAAAAAAATACTTGGGAGGCTGAGGCAAGAGAATCGTTTAAGCCCAAGAGTTTGAGGTTGCTGTGAACTGTGACATCACGGCACTCTACCAAGGGCGATATAGTCAGACTTTGTCTCAAAAAAAAAAAAAAGACAAGAAAAGAAAACTAACTGGGTGTTGTGGTACATGCCTGTAGTCTCAGCTACTTGGGAGGCTGAGGCAAGGGGATCTTGAGCCCAAGAGGTTGAGGTTGCTGTGAGGTATGATGTGATGGCACTTTACCCAGGCCAAGACCAAGAGAGTGAGGCTCTGTCTCCAAAAATATAAAATAAAATAAAAATAAAAGCAGAGGAATGCAGCTCTGATTTAATTTTCTTTTTTTCCCAGACTGGTTCTTACTCTGTTGTCCCAGGCTAGAATGCTGTGGTTTCATAGTTCACAGATCACATAGCTTAACCTCAAACTCCTGGGCTCAAGCAATTCTCTTGCCTTAGCCTCCTGAGTAGCTGGGACTACAGGTGTCTACTACCACGCCTGGCTTATTTATTTATTTATTTTTGAGACAGAGTCTCAAGCTATCACCCTAGGTACAGTGCTGTGGCATCTTAGTTCACAGCAACCTCCAACTCTTGTGCTCAAGAGATCCTCTTGCCTCAGTTTTTTTTTTTCTATTTTTAGTAGAGATGGGGTATCATTTTTGCTCAGGTTGATCTCAAACTCATGAGCTCAAGCTATCCACCTGCCTTGGCCTCCCAGAGTGCTAGGATTATAGGCATGAGCCACCACACCTGGCCTCTATTTT